TATATATATATATATATATATATATATATATGTGTGTGTGTGTATATATGTATATGTATATGTATATATATATATGCATCATGCAGAGATAGAGGATACTACCTCTGTCTCACTCTCTTTGTCCACTTTTGACTTTTGGAACTGTTCATCTAAGCACTTTGACTCATCAAATTCTCTCAATGTGTAAGCCTAAATATAGTCATGTGTGATCTTGTTTGATTTGTCTTAACATATAGATTATTAATATATAATTTCTATAATTTTTTAATATACAAATTACAAGATAAAATGGATTAAAGAAGTGCATTGGATGGTGTGCCAAAAGGTAAGTGGATAAAGAGAGTGGGACGGAGGGAGTATATAGTACAAGACCGGGTCATTATTGTTAATTTCTCTTATAAAACAATACTTGACTATATAAATATATCTGCGCGCACTTGCAGCTAGGCCATCACTCTCATCATCATGAGCTCTCTCATCATGAGCTCTGGAGACTCGGGATAATCTTTTTTGTGCTCGGTCGTGTGGCTTTTCTAGTAAATGGAATATTTTGTGCAGGTTGCCATACGGAACCAAAAGATGCCGGGTGTGATGTGTGTCTTCTTTCGGTAGCATGGTGAGTTATTTCTAATTTATTATTCTCTTTTGGATATCAAATTATCCATACATACATACATACATAAATACATACATACATACATACATACACATACATATACATGTATGTATGTATGTATGTATGTATGTATAATATCATTGGCGTGACTAATCGTGGGAAAAATAAGAAACTTTTGTTTTTTTAGATTGATATAATTCTTTTTATGGTAGGAATAGAAGTTTACCGATTTGGTTATTCCATCTTTCTATATAAAGAAGGTTTGAGTTTGGTAATGAATAAGAATCCTTAGAATTATACAAAATCTTTTCTCCAGTCATTATTTTATCAATATATGTGGGTGTCTGTGTGTGCAGCATTTTTGGCCTCGCCGCAGGATCGTTAATGTTTGTTGCACGAGACATACCTGGCTCGATTACTGGAGCTGTATTTGCTATCTTTCAATGTGTTTTCGCTAGCTTTTACTCCTGGCACGCTCCATACTCGTTAGAATGGTGTTGCAACAGAGTGTGATTGATTATTATATGCTCCCTCTGATCTATCCCATAAAATCTGTTATGTTTGAGAAAACACGTACCTTTAAAATGCATAATTATTTTAGTGTTAAAATATTGTACTATGAGTCGCATATTAAGTAATCTTCAAGTGGAATTAAGAGTCAATATGCTTTCTTCTTCCCTAAACTCTACCCCTATACTACCTCCCTCCCCAAAGGACGCATCTTCCGGCCTTCATTTTTGCGTATTCGCGGAAGCTGACTTCCATGGTGGAGACCAACATTGTAATAGATCCTTGCCCTCTTCTTTTCGTGGAATTGATAATTATACAAAAATTTGCTTTCCCTTATTCCCCGGCCTCTCTTCAGTCTCCTAGGGGAGCGAAGACAAGAAGCTAAAGTTGAAAGTATTTTCCCCAAATAATCAGGATATATGTTCGACAAGGCTCAATGCAAACCACAAAAACCAGTAGAAACAAACAGTAATGAATAGCAGAAAAATAAATAGAAAACACATGATTTGTGTAGATGCCCTAAAATGGGGGAGGGAGAACAATGAGATCTTCCAACAAGGACCCTTAAACTAACATTAACAAATCACAAAGAAACAAGTGGGCATAATAGGGTGTGTTACAAAACGCGCACGGGGCAAACGAATATAGCCCCAAAGTACAAGCAAACAAAGCAATTTTTTTTTAAAATGAAACTTTTTCAAAGGATTTGTTACTAGGATTCGGGAGGATTATAATAGCACTGATGTTGATTTTTTTAAAGAGATGGCATTGCTAAACGAAAGTATTACTTCTTTGATAATAAATCGATGCTAGTTTAGAAAATATATGGGGGTATTTGGTCGAAAATTGGATGTCACAACACAAATATATTCCGAATTGGGCCAAGTTCCCAAGATTTCGAATTAAATACTAGAGCTTATCTAGTTTGCGTAAATTGGACACTTCTATTGGAAAGCCTATAAAATGGATAAAGTACGGCAACAAGCGCTAAATTGGGGATTTGGAATATATATACTGAAATCAAAAGATACGGAGTGCTTCATCGATGTCGTGGTCAGACGGAGAAGAGACTGGACTATCACGGTACAGTCCTAATCTCTGCTGCTACAATTGTTGTACAGTCCTAGTCTTATTGTGCATTCACCACACAAGCGTCCACGACATTCCATTGTGACTTGGCCCACATAGCCTTCGCTACGGGATAATTGATGCACACATGGCCAACAATCTCCCTCTCGGCAATTGCTCCCGATGGGAATTGAACTCGTGACCTTGGCTCCGATACCACTTGTAAGACCTTAGGCGCTACCAACTCTTCTAAAACCAATTGGTGTTAGAAGAGGAGCATACCCTAACCTTATAGTCTATTCACCACACAAGCGCCCATGACATTCAATTGTGACTTGGCCTACATAACCTCTGCTACGGGACAATTGATGCACACATGGCCAAAAGTCCTCGATCAGAGACAACCATTGACATTGTCCCTTAATGGTCATTGTACTCCATCTTATGTTTGTAGTAAAGATCCATAGTTGTTTTATTGGTGGTGATAGTTACCCCTCACCCAAACACTAACTTCACTCCACACACTAAACTCACTCCATTAGTTTCAAAATTATTTCTAATACTTATTCAAAAAAATTTAATTCATGAACTCATCATATAGAACATTTTGCAAGTTTAAACTTTTGATGAAAATTCTAGTTTGAATCACGATAGAATAATAGTTTACTAATAAAAAAATTTTATTTTACTAAATAAGGAGTATATTTTAATTATTAGATGTGATATCTTTTTAAAATAAAAGTTGTATTTTTAATAATAATTCAAATTTATTAACATTTATAAAAAAAATTTGTTCATGAATAAATAAAAGAGAATAATGGTGAATAACAATGATTTTTTTGGCATACTACATTTTTTGTATGTTTCAATTATGTAATGACGGTACATGTTTTTGGTATATGGTGCAAAAAATTTAATGATGATACCATGTTAAAAATGTAAACAAGAAGCCGAGTTTTCATTGATCACTTGATCTCTAAACACTACGTCAAAAACAGATGCTGACAACTGTTTCTTTTAGTAGTCTCCCGGTGCTGATTTCAGTAGTCTTCCCAGCAGCTGTCTGATATATTTACAAACTATTGTTTAAAAACAATTGTGTAAAATGGTTGACGACACCTGTTTTGTAATGTTTTAGAGTACCACTTTTTAGTGTTCTCCACGTATGAGTAAGACATCTGTTTTTTAGAGTTAAAGAGAACTGTTATTTTTTGTTGTCTATCTATAATGAATACTACTATTGTTTTTAACGTCAGACTCCTAATTCTTGGTGTTGTCGTTCAACAATATAGACATCTACTTTAAAAAGTAATTGAAAGATATATCAGACAGCTGCTCAGAAGACTACTAAACAAAAATAGGATCAGACAACTGTTATCTTTTGTTGTATTTCTAGAATATGGACTACTAATTTTGTTGTATTTTAAACAACCGTTTCTTTCAGTTGTATAGTGCTCAATAACACTGCGCTTTTTTACAGTTGTCCTTGAAATATTCAAACTATCATTTTACACACTAGTCAAATTATAAATCCGACTACTGCGCCAAAGACAACTAAGTATGTTTGCATAAAACAACTGCTATTATGTGTTGTATTTTTAAAGTGTAAACAACATTATTTGTGGAAAACACAGATGGTGGAGACATGATTGCTCAGATGGTGGAAAACACAGCTGCACACACAGGTCTTCTTGTGGAAAATTTAAGCGATGAACCACATGTCGAAGATGACATGAAAAGTGTTGGAACACACTTTGTACGATAAACTAAAGTCGTGTTCATTTCTGACAGGTTTTGATAATTGCCAAACCGCCATGGATATGAAGAGTTTCGTTGAATAACTCAAGGCATGAAGAATAGCTTGGAACAAGACCAAAAAGACTCAAGGACAAGATCAAGAATTGAAGACTTAGTCGAGTCGGTCTTTTGTGATCAAAACCGACAATAAATTCAAGTCTCGGTTCTCAAAGAGTCAAAATAATTTTTACAAATCAAAAAATATTTTTTGTGCATCAAAATAAATATTTCTGATGATTTTTTATTGATTAAACTCCCTGGTCCTTGCTCGGAACCTAAACCACCTAAGTCGCCGTTCGGCGTTCAGTTTTTGGCGCCCGAACCAACTCCGTGGTTTTCAATATTTTAAACCCTGTTTTTACCTCTGAGCATTTTTATAATGTTCCCAAATAATTATTTTATAAAAACCACTTTTGTATCTTGGTCAATCGGTCTAACACGTGAAAAACGGTCAAAACCGTACGCACGTGATGTACGACCTTTGAGACTTGGTTTTTACCAAACAAGTCTTGGTTTCACTATGTTATACCATATACAATGTTTTCAAAACGGGTTTCAGCTGGCTAGACTTTAGCTGGGTGATAATCGATTATCACCTTAGTGACAATCGACTATCAGCCCCTGCAGCTTTGAAACTCCAAAGTTCTGAAGCACGCAATAATCAATTATCACTTATGCTATAATCGATTATCAGCCTGTGCAGCCAAAACCCAGAAACTTCTGAGAGGACCAATAATCAACTATCACTTGTTGACAATCGATTATCTGGGTTACTGTTGTCCTCCAATGGATAGAATTTTAAATTTTTGGACAAGGAATCTTTGGATAATCGACTATCAAGCTTTGACAATCGACTATCACCATGTGTCTCTGAAAAATTTGTCTTCATCCTGTTGGAAACTCTAGCAACGGGTTTATCCCATTTTGAGCTATAAAATGGCACCCAAATCCTCTCTTTTCCTACACTATTCTTCAACATTTCAATACTCTTTCATTGCATAAGCATTCCTAATTTTCTAAGCTATTTGAGAGCCAATTCTTGAAGAAATTGTCGTGTTCTTGAGCGTATACTAGTTCACTCATATCTACTCTTTGTGAGAGTTTTATTCCTGAGTGTTTAAGTGTTTTCATACACTTTAAGGGAGGTTGTTCCCTTGTTGTAAACTCGAAGGAAGTTCTTTGTTCCTTCGTGAGAAGTCTTGGAGTGCGGTATCTCCGAGCAAAGGCGTTGAGGCTCGTGTGACTCGAGTTCTCAAGTTGTATCGGTTTGTTGAGCACCCTTAAGCTTAACGGAGTTAGTGTAGCTCGAGAGAGTCACTCGGGAGGCTGGATTAGCCACACGTTGTGGTGAACGAGGATAAAATTCGGTGTGCTCTTTCCTTACGCTCTTTACTTTTACGCTCTCGTTTTTAATTTCCTGCGATTTTGTTTTAAACGCTATTCACCCCCCTGTAGCGTTGGGCCTTTATTCTAAGAATTGGTGGTATCGGAGCCTTACTCTCTGAAAGACTTAACCGTTTGAGAGAAACGATAAATGGCTTCTACTCAAAACTTATACGCAGGTTTAGGAGAAGGGCAATCCACCACGAGGCCTCCATTATTTGATGGAACAAATTACACATATTGGAAGGAGCGGATGAGAATTTTCATCCAATCCAACAACTTTCTCCTATGGAGAATTATCAAGAATGGGGAAGAAGTGCCCATGAAGAAAGTTGGGGAAACCACCGTTCCCAAAACCGAAGATGAATACGATGCGCAAGATATCAAGAAAATAGAGAACAACGCCAAGGCTATCAACATTCTTTACTGTGCAGTAAATCCGGACGACTACCGGAAAATTTCATGTTGTTCGACCGCTAAGGATATGTGGGACAAGCTCAAAATCACATATGAAGATACGAATCAAGTCCGAGAAGCTAAGATAGATTTTCTAACCCATGACTATGAATTGTTTCGTATGAAGGAGAATGAGAAAATCGATGAGATGTTTGAACGATTCTCCAAAATCGTTAATGATCTCCATGCTCTCAAGAAGACGTACACGGACAAGGAGCTTGTGAGAAAAATCCTGCGAAGTCTCACACTGGAGTGGCGCTCCAAAGCTGATGCCATTCAAGAATCCATCGGCATCACCAACGTCACCATTGACGGAGTTAGAGGTAATCTCAAAACCTATGAGTCTACCATTCTTTATCCCTCTCTAGGTGAACAAAAGAAGAATGGGATTGCCCTCAAGGCATCTACAAGCCAAGAACGTGCTATGGAAGACTCGAGTGACGAAGACGAGTTCGGTATCGTGCTCAAGAAATTCCATAAGTTCATGAGCCAAGAGTATGAACGGAAAGGAAAGAAGCAAGGAAGTCCACCCAAATGCTATGGGTGTGGAGAAGTTGGGCATATAAAACCAAAATGTCCAAAAGCCAAGAACAAGAAGAAAATGTTCAAGAAGCACCGAGCCTACATCTCATGGGGAGGTGATTCCGGCGACGAGTCATCGGAAGGCGAAGAAAATGAAAGCGCCAACCTTTGCCTCATGGAACACGAGGAACCACCAGAAGATGTATGTACCACTTCTAAAGATTCCTATACTTTTGATGATGTACAAGAAGCCTTTAATGAACTTTATGATGTGTATGTCAACGCTTCTAAAATTAACAAGGATTTGAAGAAACAACTTACTTCCATGGAGAAGGAAGTTGATAAACTATCAAAAGATAATGAAAAACTTAAAGAAGAAAATAAGTTTTTCGGAAAAAGAAGCGCCGACAAACCGGAAAGTTCAGAATGTAGTTCTTGTATATCACTTAAGAATCAAGTTGCAAAACTTGAAGGAACTTTGAAGAAGTTTGGTGTTTCTCATAAAAACCTTAATGATGTTCTTGACAATTTGCAACTTACTAAACATGGCTTAGGTTTTGAAAATGAACCTAATAATAATGAAAAATTTGACCAACCATCTAGGAAACCTAAAGCTCAACTTAGGAATAATGAAAATCAAGAAAATAGACAACCTAGAACAATTAGGAACACTAGACCACCTAGAAAGAGCACTAGGATGAACAATGGTCAAGTTAGAAAACCTAGGAACTATTATCAACCTAGGAGAATGCATAATCCAAATGTTATTTGTCATTATTGCAATAGGGTAGGTCATATAGCTCCCGTGTGTTTTAGTAGGCATAGGCATTGCACGTATAACAAAACACACACTTTGCATGGAACTAACCTAATGAAATCCTTTGAAAAAGGATATTCGAGCTCTAACCAATCCCTGCAGGAATCAACGCAAAAGAAACCATACTACTTCTTCTATTATGATGAAAAGAAGATTCACATACCACTGCCGGAACCCACACAAATGAAACCGAGGTATAGACATTCGGTTCAAGTAGACTGGAACCCGCCAACCACAAAACGACGAGTTGGCCAAGGTAACACTTAAACACGTGTGTTGGTACGTGTGTGTGTGTGTGCGTGTGTGTGTGTTTGTGGGCTATGTGTGTAATTATGAGTGTGTGTGTTTATTAGTTCAAAAAGTCGTGTAACTAATCCTCAAGGACCCAAAAGACCAAACGGGTACCAAATGCTTTCATTGTAGGTGTCAAAGTCAGGGGGAACAGAGCAAATCGATTTTTTTTGTCACCAGACTTGGTGTAAATCGATTGACAGGCTTGTGATAATCGACTATCACAGCCCACAGAAATTTGGAGCCAAGAAAATAAAAGAGCTAACAATCGATTATCAACATTGAGATAATCGATTCTCTGAGCCTGCAGGAGTTTGAGGAAACTTAGCTGGAGACCTCAACAATCGATTTACAACCAGGCAGAAATCGATTATTAAAGCCTGCAGTTTCTTTGGCGGAGAATCTGAAGACTCGGACAATCCATTTACAGGGAGTGTAAATCGATTATCAACGGTGATTTTTCAAAAATTTGACCGTTGCAGAGACGTTGGAGGAGCATTTAAACCTTGTTTGACCATCCCAACGGATCTCTACACCTCTTCCACTATATATTGGTGATATCTACTCCATTTTTACTCATTCCAATCATCTCTTCTCCATATATTCATCATAATTCATCATTCTTGCTCCTATTCTTCATTTTTTTTCAAAAATTCTGCAATCTCTCTCCCAGGAGGACACAAAAACAATTCATGCGATGATTCACATCGCCAATCTCAATTGGTGTAAATTTGTGATGACTCACATGTTCAATGCCACCTCCGACAACCAGCCGCTCCCCTATGCTCTGCTTGTCATGGCGGTCCTTGATGTGTTCCACATCAAGACGGATGTCGGGCCAAAATGCAAAGGAACAAAGTATTGGGAGATTGACGAGTCTTCCTTCCACCCGGGAACCGATGAAGCTACGTTCCCGCAGCCACGTCCTCGCTGCCAACCGAGAGCCACTGCCTCAACTGCCACCGCTTCGACCAATCCTTCTCTCGCCAAGCAAATGGCAGCCTTGACCGCCACTCTCTCTCGGATTGACACCAACATCTCCCAAACGGCCCAAAATGTAAATATTTTGAGCCGAGAGCTTCACGGGTACTTTGACTTTGTCAATTACCCTTACGCTCAAATGGTCCCCTACGCTCCTCCACCGAATGTCGGGGGTGCACCAAGCGGGACTAATAACGTTGGGGGAGATGAAGAGGTAGACGATGAGGAAGAGGAAGAAGAAGCCGAAGATGATGATGATGATGGCGATGGTGATGAAGATGAAGACGATGAAGAAGAAGACATTGACGAAAACCAACTTCTCAATGATCTTTCACTGGACTTCTAGAGCTCTAGCTCTATTCCCTTCTCTTCTTTAATTTTTTTTTGCTTTTTAAATTTGTTTCCGTTATGTACTCCGCTATTTCCCTTAAATAATTAATAAAAATCTTTATGGTTTTTGTTATCAAAAATCTTTTTGTTAATGTCAAAAGGGGGAAGATAAGGGCTATGCATATATTAAGGGGGAATTTTTTATTAAGGGGGAATTTTTTTTAAAAAAAAAGATCAAAACCCTATGCATATCCCCGTCTTGTTTGCTATTATCAAAAAGGGGGAAATTGTTGGAACACACTTTGTACGATAAACTAAAGTCGTGTTCATTTCTGACAGGTTTTGATAATTGCCAAACCGCCGTGGATATGAAGAGTTTCGTTGAATAACTCAAGGAATGAAGAATGGCTTGGAACAAGACCAAAAATACTCAAGGACATGATCAAGAATTGAAGACTTAGTCGAGTCGGTCTTTTGTGATCAAAACCGACAATAAATTCAAGTCTCGGTTCTCAAAGACGTTAGACAAATGTGCAACTCTAGAGGGGGGGTGAATAGAGTTGTTTTCAAAAATGTACGTTTTTCGTAAAAATTATCGCAGAAATAAGTAAGGAGAGTAAGGGAAAGAAGAACACCGGGATTTATACTGGTTCACCACCTCGTGGCTAGTCCAGTCCTCCGAGAGACTCTCTCGAAAGTCCTACTAATCTTCAAGCTTCAACGGGTGCTTGAAAAACCGGTACAACTTGAGAACTTGTGTAACGCCTCGAAACATACCCTAGAATTATTATTAAATAATTATTCGAATAAACAAATTTGTTTTGATTAAAATAAATTGTTGTTGGGCTTTGGGCCAATACGAAATATGTTTTGATATCTATTATCACACTTTGGATAAATCTCATAGAGATAAATCCAATATATTGACTTTTTGTGTGGTCTTGATTGGAAACCTGAGTACAGACCCAAATTAAGAATAAATGAAGAAATTATTTATAATGTGAACTTTGAAATGATATTTTGAAATAAATCATAGAAATAAATAATATGAATTAAATGTGAGAACCTTTTTGAATAAAAGTCAACTAAATCAATTTTGACTCTGTCAAAGTCAACCACCCAAAAATATGATGTCGGAAAAAGTGTTACAAATAAATATAAAAATTATATTTATGGATAGAGTTTAACTGTCTGACCGCAACAGTGCAAACGGAATTCAATTCGGAGAAAGTTGGACCAAAAAGCGTACCCTGACTGGAACCAAATTGGTCCCAATCAGGGAAC